TAATAAATGAAGAAAAGAAATGGGAAAAGTGCAAAAAGATAAACAAGGAATGGGGTTAATCATGAGAAAAAAGGGGGAAAAGAAAAAAAACCCACCTTAAATTAAAAAAAAAAAAAAATTTCAACCAGGTACAGGGAAAATAAAAAATGCTGAAAACTAGAACCTGGTAGGGAAAATGAAAATAATAATAAAAAGGACAAAAGTATTAATAATATTAGTTGTGATGGAGTTCCTGTAGGCCTAGAAGGTAGGTGGGAGTGGGTGATGGCCACACCTCCTTTTTCACCAAGTGAGTGTGGGGTGTAAGAGTAAAAGAGGAATGTTGTACCTTTTCAGTCTTGCAGGTCCTGAGTGTCCTTGGGGTTGCTGGAAAACAGAACTTGTTCTTAAGCCCCAGGAATCTGCAAGAGCGCTGTCTCTTTAGCCAAGCTGGTTTTTAAACCTTCAAAATGGCAGTGCCCTCCAGACCAGCAAAAGTCCACAGTTCAGCCCACCTTTCTCTTCACCTTCTCCGTTTGTTCCCCAGCCACCGTGCGCAGTCCTCTGTGCAGTCCCAGGTAGCCAAGTGACTTTTAGGTTAATTCTTAGGTCCTACCACCACTCGGAATCTCCAAGCTGTCTGTGCCATGAGGAGAAACTATTTATTTTTTAGCTTTCTGTAGAATTCCATGTTTCGAGTGAACTTCATCTAGAAGTTCATGTTGGTGTACTCTCAGAACTAAAATTGTCACAAAACCTCACCTGAGCTTTTATAATTACAGATGTGTAATAGAAGTAGTTGTCATCCTTGGGTAGTACAGTTAAGTACTTGACTACTAGCCAAAAGGTGGTTCAAATCCACCCAGAGATGCCTTGGAAGACAGGCCTGGTGATATGCTTCTGAAAGGTCACAGGCTTAAAAACCCTGTGGAGCAGTTCTATTCTGACATAAATTGTTGCCATGAAGTAGTATCAACTGAAGGGCAATGGGTTTGGTTTTTTAAAAGGAGCAGTAATTTGAATTGCAGAATAATAATGGATTAAAATTCATTTCTGAATGTTTTTACTCTTTAGGTAGTTACTGTTGCTCTCCGGTGTCCAAGTGGATGTGTCCCAAGGAGACGTTTTTTTAAGACTTGTAGTTCACAGGTGAGAAAATTCATAATAATGAGTTTTTTTTTTTTTTGGTAAATTTGACAAAAGGTTATTCACATCCAGTTGGGGAGTCTCATCCTTTATCAGATGAAGATAAAGGGATATATGTACTATACGTTGCAAAAATTTGGATAACTAGACATTTTGGGCCTTTTTGAAATGCATTAAAATTTTGTTCAGCTTTTCCTTTTATTACTTTTGTTTGATTCCATTTTCACTGCTTCGTGGCTACTAAGATACTTTCAAACTCTTAAAAAGCCATTACTCCCTAAACCCCTTATATATAACTTTTAGATCATTTCAAGGAATTTGTTTCCTTTTGTCAAATAGATATTTCAAGGTCCCTGGGTGGTGCAGACAGTCTGCACTCAGCTAGTAACCCAAATGTTGCCTGTTTGAATCTACCCAATGGGACTGCAGAAGAGCTAGGTCTAGCGAGCGGCTTCTGTAAAGATTACACGCAACCCTACTCTGGAGCCTATGGAATCTCGCCAAATGAATTCATGAACAAATGCTTCAACAACAACAAAAAAATGCTGTTTTCATTCGCAACTATGTGGAAAACAGAAAAGTAGAGAGAAATGAAAAATGACATCTGTGTTCTAACACTATAACCAATCACTAATACTTCAGTTTATAAGTGCATTTAAACAAATAATTACATGTGTAAAAGTAATTTTCAATCCTGATTATTGCATTTAAGTATGATGAGAATGCTGTAAACCATAATGGAAAATAGTGATAGGTGTGACAGTAAAATAAACACATAAAAATTTAATAAATTAGAAAATCATAAAGCTAAAAGACAAACTTGGAAAAACTGTTCTACGTATGATAGATTTTATAGGGAGCTTATATAAGTCATGTAAAAGGCAAATACTTTAGTAGACTAGCAGATAAAATCCCAAGGTTTTCCCAAGAAAAACAAGCAATAAAAGATGTGAAAAAACATTTGGCCTCACTTAGAATCAAAGAAGTATAAATTAAAATGAAACACCATTTTTCACCTATCAGAATGTCAAAGATTATAAAAAGAACAGTATCCAGTTTTGGCAGTGTGTGGGAAAAACACAAGATTCTCGTTTAAGTTGTTAATGTAAATATAAACTGGGTATGTTCCTATGGGAGAATTTAGTAGTATATATTTTAAAATATTTATCTTTTGATGCAGTAATTCATTATCTGTTATACACAACAGGGCAGCTATTAAAAAAAAAGTGTTAGTTTAAGTAGGATTAATTAAATTAAGACCTCAATATACTGGAAAATTATGGAGCTTTAAAAATTATGACACACACACACACACACACACACATATATATATATATATACATACATATATACATACTTACTACAATGGAATATTAGTAGGTTCTTGGGATGGTAGCTAGCAGAAGTCAGTGATAGTCATATCTCATACTGTTAACTTCCCCTGAAACATTCTGGCACTCTCTTTTTAAAATAAATTTGAGGCAAACATTGTTTTTAGGCAGTATTACATAGAAATTTTGATTACTGTGGGATTCTACACGACTGTTACAAAATTATAGGGATGGATTCTTTAGTCTCTGGAGGCCTGGACATGCCTGTTTTGGCAAAGCTCCTGAGTGATTTTGAGGTAGACAACTGGATTTGATTCTGATCTGTATTATTTTTTCCCCCAAATGTTAACTTTTTGTTCTTAATCCATTTATTGAATAATCTTTCCATTCCCTTAAGGTGGGGCAAACTTGTTAAATTACTTTGTCTGCCCAGTGCCAACTGTCCCTAAGCCTCTTCTATACATAAAGTATTCAAAGTTATTAGCTTCTCAAAAAGCATGTTCTTTTCAAGTCTATAAACTTCTTTTTGAAATGGGTTTCATTATTTCTAAGGGCATGGTTTAATGAAAAACTTATAAAAGATCATGGAGAACTAGAGGGATGCAAGTATTTGATAATGACTAAGGCTTTCATCTTTTAGGTCTTACTTGATTGGATGATGAAAACTGGTTACCATCCATCCCTATATACGCTTTCTACTTCCTTTCCCAGAAGACCTCTGGAAGTGGAAGGAAGGCGGACACTGGAGGACATAGGAATAACTGTGGATACTGTACTCAATGTGGAAGAGAAGGAGCAGAACAACTAACAAATGAGAACTACCTGTTCTGCATAAAATCATTTATGCCATTATCTTACAGGATAATAAAGGATTCAAATAAAATTGTGCCTTATCTTGATTGAATTAAAGGTCAGGTATGGAAGCCAGCCTCCAAGAAAACCTCAGTGATCTCTCTCCTTTTAAACACCCGAGCAGGGCAGAGGGCAGCCAGACAGGCAAAGGGCCAGGGAGGTGTGCCTGAGGACACAGTATAGGGAAGACTGTCCTGATCAAAGAGTTACTTCCTTAACAAACCCCATAATTGTGAGTATTTTCTGAGAGTCCTGTGCAGCCACTGCAACAAATTATCGAACCCTTATAGAGCCGGGCAGAGAAGGAGGGAGTGCCGTGGGAGGGATGACTGGTGTCATAGTTGGTAAAAAGGCTGGAGGGTGGGGGCGTGTCTGGCCTCATAGGAAATCAGCCTTGGGCTGCTGATGACAGGGAGCTCTGGTGGCATAGTGTCTAAGGCACTTGACTGCTAACCAGAAGGCTAGCAGTTCAAAGCCACCAGCCACCCCTCGGAAAGAAGGCTGGGCAGTCCACTTCCGCAGTGATACCGCCTCGGAAACCCGAGGAGGGGTCGCTATGAGTTGGGTCCGACTTGACAGCACATAACAACAGGAAGAAAGGCCTACTGAGCTACTTCTGAAAACCAGCCAATGAAAATCTTATGAATCACAACAGTAAAATGGCATTGTGCACAAGGTGGGGCTGATGCAATGGGAACTATCAAGGTTTTTTTAATGGTCCTAGGGAAAACTAACTTGAATCTGCTTTCTAAATTGTTTGCTAGTGTTCCTAAATCTGTTTGCTAGTGTCTTTAATAACACCCTTCAGTGAAGGAGTAAAAATTTTAAATGACCTGTGCCTTCCGTATTCTGTGGAGGATTAGTGGAAAACAGGAAGACTCTCAACATAAGATGGACTACACAGTGGCTACAACAATGGGCTCAAGCATAGCAAGGACTGTGAGAATGACGTAGGACTGGTAGGTTTTCTTTCTGTTAGGGTCGTTATGAGTCAAGAAATAATTTGACAGTACCCTAACAACAACAAAGAAACTACTCTTTAAGTATTTCCAAATACAGCAAAGCCAGAACGTGTCAGAGAAGGAAAACTCAAACATTTTCCACTAGTAGCAACAAGAAGTTGCTTGACCTGGAAAAACAAGGCAGACCTATCAAGTTCCTGCTCTTACAGTTTTCACTGTAACATGCAGCAAAAACGATCAGGAGTCACTGGTGTTAATTAGTGGAAAGCGAGCCCAATTACCGAGACATTATTCACCCTCCGAGTTAGCAAACCACCTGTACATCCTTAGAAAATTTTCCTTCATTTCATTACTTATATGTATATGTTGTACTTGTAAATGCTTTCCCTTACTGTAATACACTGAGAGAAAACTACCCATTTGAGTTTAATAATGCAACAGATGCCAGACATCAAAGGAACATATCTGTGTTGCTGTGAGTCACTCTATTACAACCATGACACTATTGGGCATTTCATTTTAGACAGAATAGGAAATAAAAAAACTATACTTGTAAGGGAAAAAGGTGAGGGGGAAAAATATATAAGAAATTCCCCTTTGAAATGGGGAGGTAGTTTTAGTCAGCTAATTGCTCTACAAGCTGAAAATGACAGCCTAAAAATATAAGTTCTAAATCATAACAGCATTTTTAGACTTCCACTTCCATTTAGGATGTGGATGCTGCAAAAGAACATTGCTCCTACCCAAACATTAAGAAAAACCTAGATCATCTATAAAATTGTAATTTTTTGGGTCCTCCGGGAGCTGAAGTTGCAAAGGTAAACATATAAATTTAATTCCAAAGAGGGATAATCTGCTCCAAGGAGAGGAAGAGCACGCACATTGTCTTCCCTTTGGCAGAGTATGGTAAAGAGGTGGCTCCTATAAAAGGTGGTAAAAATTCAGCTAATATTTTGACAGCCAGATGTGGGTAGTGCATTAGTTTGGAACAGCCTGGCTATTTAATTATGGTGCTCAATGCAAAGTGAAAATGCAGGGATGATTATTCAAAAATTATTAAGAACTTCAACATGATAACAAAAAAGCATTAAACCAAGGAGAAACCTTTCTAAATTTGGGGCCCTATGATGGCACAACAATGAAGCTAGTCCAGTTTTGGAGTATCTGGGGGCCTCTGACACAAGGGGAGCTCACACTTGCTCGAAAGTCATTTTCATGGCATCCACTAGGTGTTCATGAAAACAAATGAGTCCAGTGCAGAAGATCAGAGAGAGCTCAACTTGGTACAAAAATGAAGGGGGTGATTTGTGGCCACGAGGGAACAAGCACAAAGGCCCACTAACTTTTTGGGACCTTTCTCCCTACAGAGTCCAAATTTTAAGCCACAGAGAGAGAGAGACCAAGTATTATGGTACACAGGGCACTGCCAAAGATCTATTGCTTCTTGAGGAGTAGAAGTAAAAGCCATTTACCTCTCCCAGGACACAGACAAAGATTTACTGCTCCTGGGAGAATAGAGAGAAGCAAAAAATTTCTACCACTGAGGGAGGAGCAGATACACAGAGAGCAAACACGTATCTAAACCTAGCTATAATAATAATCATATTAAATATAATGGTCTAAATACTCTAGTTAAAAAACAATGCCAGATTGGACTAAAAAAATAATCATGTCCAACTGTAAGGTCACTGTAAGTAATAGTGTTAAGTGATAAATACCCAGAAACAAACTATTAATACTATGGCTGGAGTTGGGACATGAAACACCCATCTAACATCAATCACAGATATAAGGCAAAATTTGGCTGCCACAGGCAGGAGGGACAGAAATACTATGAAAACCTCACTTCTGAAGCCAAAGAATAAAAGGCTTGCCTAAATTTAAGGCAGACCTGGGACAACAGAGAACCTCATTGGCTCCCATCATGAACCTAGCATCAAGTGACTACTGTGGAAAGAGATCAATTTATTCCAGTTTTAAATTTAAATGTTTCTTTCTAGCTCTATAACATTTTACAGTTTCAGTATATAATTCATATATTAAACTTTAAAAAAATCTCAATAATTACCTATTACAAATACAGAGACTTTACCTCAAGTCTCAATAATAGTGAAGTTTCCATTTAATGCATACCACAGTAAATCAATGTGTTTTTGTTTAAAATGGAGGGTTTATTTGCTCAGTACACCAAATAGGATGCAAGCATTGTCATGACAAATATACAGAAATATGCAGATCAACATAGAACAGTAATTTAGTTTAAATGAAGGGAAATCTCTTTAAATGTTATGACAACATACTCCCAAGAAGAATCTTTTCTTCAGTTAATTATACATTTCAATAAAATAAAGGGTAATGGATTAAGTGGAAGTTAGCCTGTGAATTCTCCTTAAAAATAAAACTCCAACTTTATTAATCCATGCCAGTTAGACACTGTAACTCTCAACTAAGTGCAAAAAAAATGAAGGAATTAGTTACCTTTTTTGTTTGAACAGTCCAAAGGAAAATGTTTATTATATATACAGCAGGCAAACTGTAGACTAACTGATCTAGAACACAGTGCTGTACTGAATTTCAGTCTAAATTGTGCTAAATAATCATCATTAGTATGGCACATTTTGGTCCATGATGTGGTTTAATGCCAAGACAGATCCCAACTTGTTAACAGAAACACATAGATTACTGTTGCTTTTTTTTTTGTTTTTAAATCTATCTATCTATCTATCTATCTATCTATATACATCTATATATATATATATATATATATAGATATATATATATTTTTAAAAGTCAGGTATACTTCCACATACAAAGGCAGATTTTCCTTGGAACAATCTACAGGAAGTAGTCAGGGGTACGTCGAGTAACATGAGGCTCTCCACGACGAGGTGCTGGGTCAAACTGAAGGCTATAAAAGGCAAAAGGATTTTATTTTGCAGACCAAATAAAATAAATCAATGAACAAGAAGACATTGTAGTAGAAAAAGCAGTTCTATGTCCCTACCTCTACAGTATTGATTATGACTGGAATGACCGTGGGCAAGTCTCTGAAGCTAAATGCCTTTTCATCATAAAACTACTTCATAGGGCTATAGCGAGAATTTAAGTAGACAAAATGTCTGGTTTAACGACAAGCAATAAAAGGTTTATAGCATTATTTTTCTTATTATAGGATCCAATAAAGAACAAGGACAGTAGGAAAATTTTGGGGGCATGCATTTTAGTCAGGTCAAAAAAGACAGCCATAAAAATATTTAATATTTAAAAATATTTCTTATTTGATCAAATATGCATCTTTTTTCTCATACTATTACTGATGAGAGTGTACTTAGGTTCACTGGATTGAGTGGGAAGGTTAATTCAAACCACTCAACTCATGCTGCAATGACCAATGAAAAAAATTATTATAAAACTAAGAAATTTTTTTGGTAATACTTTGCAGCTTCTTTGAATAGCCACAAGCATATAGATATCCACCTAGTGCAGTGGAATAAGAAAATTCAAATACTAGTCACATACTACCACTTTTAGGGGGAAGACTGTAAACAATTCAACATGAACTTCTTAAGTTTTCCAGGTTTCATTATCTGTGAGGCCAAGATACTATGTGTAAAAGCAACTAGTAATCTATATAAGCAGTATATAATATGCAAGATATCATTTTAACTTTTATAAGGTATACAGTTCAATAATTTATGGTATGTGCAGAGCTGGGTAACCATTACCAGTATCTAATTTTAGAACCTTTTCATTACCTGAAAAACAAACCCCTTAACTATTACCAACTACTCCCTATTCCCGTCTTTCCCCAATCCTTGGCAATCACTAACCAAATTTCCATCTCTATGGATCTTACTATTCTAGACATTTCACATAAATGGGACAAAATGTGGCCTTTTGTGACTAACTGCTTTCATTCTGCATAATATTCTCAAGGTTCATCCATGAAATAGCATGAATCAGTACTTCATTTCTTTTAATTGACAGATAGTTG